TCTCTCTCTCTCTCTCTCTCCCCTCTCCCTCCCTGCCATGAGTTCATACCATGTACACTGGTGCCCGCAGATCTTGTCTATCTCTGCCTCGTCTTCAGCCACACCTAAATCAAAGATGGCGTCACACGTCAATATGCAGTCGTTGATGGTAAGGTTGGCGTCGAGCTCAAATAGATTCGCCACCTCATCATGGACAAGTCCATCTGTGGGAAAGTCATTAAGTACGTCGTTATTTAAACATAACAACAGCAATAACAATAACAACAACAACAACAATAACAAAAACAACAACAACAACAAGGACGATTATAATAATCTATATGGCGCATAATCCTTAGACGTGCTCTGAACGCTGTACAATGCAGAATTTTCATTCAACTTTGCTGACAAATAGTAGGACGGCGAATGCACAATGTGAGACTATACAAAATCACCACATCCATCATCATCATCATCATCATCATCATCATCATCATTATCATCACCATCATCATCATCATCATCATCATCATCATTATCAACAACAACAACAACACATACGTGCGTACATAAGCTTTCACACACATGCATGTGCGCTAAGACAGAAGCACACTGGAGCGCACTCCAAAACTTAGCCCTCTTTATACACTAAAGTTAACAGACTCCTACATCTAACCAGAATGCCCCAGTAACAAGTAGCGTATAAAGCTTACAACACCAGAGAATCCGGCTTCAAATCAAGAGGAAGACAAAGAAAGACCAGGCTGGATGGGGTTAAAAAAGTCCTGGAACAACACAGCATATCTATCACAGACGCTACACACATAGCACAGGACCGAAACCTGCACCTCAGCTCGACACCCTAAGGATACCAGAGGGAGGTAAAAGTAAAAGTAAGTAAGTTAGCAGACTCAAAAAAAAGCACCACCTCAACTTACAACGGCAGGGCGGTGGTACTTCTGAAAAGACATGAGCTTTTTAAATTTTCTTCTAAGATTCTAAACCTTTGATATATCTTAACTCATTAGTCAGTAAGCAGCGCGTCCCATACGCTCCACACAAATTATGTGCGACAGAACGTGAAAGATCGTTCATCGTATTTCTCATGACTGGCTCATGATGTTGAAAATAGATTTGAAATAAAGAATCTTAGACATTTTGGTGGACAAAAAGGTCTCTAATGCTGGATGAAGAACTGGTTCTTAGAGCTTTGAAATACATTACTGTCAGATTTCACAGGCAAAACCAGTGGAACTCTATAAAAAACTGTGTGATTTTTATGCTTCTGTTTTGACTTCTTTCGCACTATTGTAACCGAATACCAAGGAAATAGAATGCGTGATGGTCTCAAAAAGTGCCAACATCCCAGAATACAAATTCACATGAAAATACAGAATTTACAGGTCAACAGCCTTACCTACCTTGGTTGTGCAATAATACCAGACGTAAAAAGTGACGCAGAAAAAAAAATAGGATTGCAATTTCTAAACAAACGAAAGATCAGCAAAATAAAAGCTGTCATCTCAAAGAGAAACATAACTGTGACCATAGAGATAAGAAACGTGAAAGAGTACGTGTGGTCATTCCTTTCGTACAGATGTAAGAGCTGAACTCTAGAACAGAAACATAGAGAGATGACCGGAAACCGCCAAGATGTGGTAAACTGAAATAGAATACTCAGAATCTCAAGGACAGAAAAGAAGACAAAAAAGAGAAATGCGCCAAAAGGCAGGTTGTGAAAGATTTATTGTAATCTGATCCATTCCAACGAGACAATAATAATAGAGATTATTCGGCCACATAAATAGATTAAATGGACTCAAAGAAACCGCTGCTATGTGGAAAGTTCGAGGGATAGAAGAGCTGAGGAACACACAGAGATGGTCCAAACAAGTTTGCAACAAAGCACCCAGCTTTTCATAAAAACAGGCAGCGGGAAGGAGTGGAGCACCATGATGGATAATGTTTGTGTGTGTGTGTGTCAGCCCTGACACCTGGAGAAGAAGAACTAATTTAGCTGTGTTGTTTTGAGTGCTGCATGCTGTATTTGTATAACAACAGCTATGCAAGAAAAAGACCAACAACAACTGTCGAGCACAACAGGGAAGCCGACATTATCTTCATAGATCAGATTAAAGTTTTTAACAGAGTAAACCCTATCAAACTGTTGAAGGCCCTCGGAATATTTGGCGTGAAAGGACAACTGCTAAACAATATTAGAGGGTCTATACACCAACAGCAGATGCTTAGTAAGAACAAAAGAAGGAAATACAAACTCATTCAAAGTGAGATCAGGAGCACGACAGGGATACATCTGTTCTCCCTTCCTTTTCATAATCCAAAGGGGCAAAATAACGCAAGAAGCAAAACCAAAGTCCAGAAAGCCTAAATGAACTTCTGCTTGCAGGCGACTAATATCTTATTTATTCAAAGCAGCATCACCTCAAACCCACAACACCGAACTGAACTACAGTTGTTGGAACTTTGACATCAGAATATGCTCATCAAAAACTTAAAGTAATGAAAGTGAGCCGGACTAAAACAGGTCAGGGCGTTTAAACATCTTGACGGTATTTTTTTTTGCTGAAGACGGGTCCATGGACAGAAAAAAAAGAAATACGAAGATGAAAAGTAAAAGTTGTTACCTATCAACTCGGACCTCTCTATCTCATCCAAACATTTCCATGAACATAAAGAGACAGTTTATCACTTCAATGTCTATACCAACATTACACTACCAGTCTACCAGTGCCATACTAGTACATAAAGTGAAACAAGTGAAAGCAAAATCAGTGTATGCGAGGTATAGTGTCTCTGCAAACCCTAAATACTACAAGAAGAGACAGACAAAGAAATGAAGATGTAAGAACAACTATTGGCACTGAGTTTTGCCTACCATTCCACAGAAAAAAACCCCCAGAGAATAAAAAGATTTGGCCACCTATTACGAATGTTCCTGAGTCAGCTAGTCTCGAGAGCCTATAATACCAAGTACTTAGGCTTTATAGGAATAGGTACCCGGTACGCCAAGCAACAGATGGGTTGAGAGAATCAATGAAGCCCTTTGGAAAAGGCAGATCTTGGTTTACTTACATGTCACAGAAAACAAGAAAAGATTTTGAAGGGAAATGAAAACAAACCTAGAGAGGGAACACTGCCCAGAAAACAGCTGCCAAAAAGATTCAGAGCACATTAGAAACAGAGGCTCGAACCTCAGAGGTTTGTCTTTAGACAATATTAAAAGAGCAACAACCAAAAGTACATTATGAAATGGCGAGAATATTGATAACATTGTAAAATGATTCCTTGTCATATTAAAAATACACTTACTCACAAACACACACACACACACAAACACACGCAAACACACACAAACACAAACAAACACATACAAACAAAAAGAACAACAACACACACAAACACCCACACACAAACAAACAAACGCAAACAAACACACACACACACGCTCACACACACACGCACAAAATGTATCGACGGATAAAGAAAAACATGAACGAGCACCGACAATTAGACTTACATAAAGTGTGGGAGACCCCATGAGCCAAAGCGAAAACACAAGCGAGGAGGATAATGGCCTTCATGATTCTGTGTCACTCTGTCCGAGCAGCTCTACTCTCGAGAAACGTGAGGGAGCGAGTACCAACACTCCTAATTTATACACTTTCTCCAAAACGTCAACGCCCAGATTTCCACTTTCGTTTTCAGATTAAAGGTGCCAGAGAGTAACGAGTTTTTGTCGTTGTATCGTTTCAGTAGTAGATCTATACGTCTCTCGTTACACATAAGCAGCTCCTTGGACTCTCTAGCTTTATTTTAAAAAAAACAGCCTTCAAAACAAAAACCGCAAGATCCAGCTATGGATTTCAGCCACACCCACTTGTCCTTCACGGAAAATAATCGTAGCCAGATAGACAATTGTGCTGGGACAACATTTTCCAGGAGCGAGGGGGGAAAGATAAAAAAACAACAAAGAACAGTTATTAATCAGTTGTCTTTTTTAAAAAGAAAATTAACCTACTTTTTGTATACCTTTGTTTTTGTTCTTTTTCGAACTTAAGAATTTGAACGTCATCACGATATTTTAGAGTAAATCATTATGCAACCAATACGACTGGTTACGAAACTGCAATTAATTTTTTTAAATAAATAAAACCAAATAATTTAAAAATAAAAAATTGTGCCTAGTACACTATGTGCCGCCAACACACTGCAACGCCAGGCAATCTGCTCGACGTATCAGGTATTCTATGAGAAAGGTAGAATCACCAGCCTATACCATAGGTCAACAAATTATGACCCCTTCTCCCCCCTCCCAAAACAGTCTAGATCTGGCCGGAAAGATCTGTTCGCCTTGTCCAACCAATAAAAACAATAACAACAACCAACAACAAATAACCCCCCCAACCCCCCCCCCCACAACAAAACAACCAACAACACAAAAACAAACAACAAACAACCTAACAACAACAACAACAACAGCAACAACAACAACAACAACAACAACAACAACAACAGACAAACAAAACTAGTAAGATGTACTGGTGGTGTGCGCCAGATTTGAACACCAGTTCAATCACTTCGTCTTATCCTATATTGGAAGTAAAACTCTATTTCATAGACTGCATAACAAGCTAATGTATCGCACTCTTACTCGGTGGTAATAATAATGACACATATGTATTTATTGATAGCGCATTATTTCCAACAGCAACCATTACTTAATTGACATGACGACTTTTTGGCAAACTTGTTGGCCTCAATACGATAGTAATAGTAATGGTAATGATATTGGTAATGGTAGTGGTACGAGTTTTAGTCTCGCGTACCCGTCGACATAGACCCTAGAATCGATCTTTGGAAGTGGTCATTAGTTATTTGTTGAAATCCCAAAGTCTATTGATCAAATCCTCAAAACTTTTCTGTGTCGGAATTTGTATTATTGGCTATAGCAGAAGCCACACATGATCTTACTCCTTTTCTCTTGAGAAAATATCCTCTTCTGAAGATGCATTGGTCATTGTTAATAATTGAGGGACGACTTACTGTTAGTGTTACTGTTATTTATACTATTACTATTACTAATACCACTGCCATTACCATTACTATTACTGACATAATTACTATTACTGTTATTGTTACCATTACTATTACTATTACTTTGACTATTTCTACCATTATTGCTATTACAGTACAATTACTATTA